TCGGCTTCAGACCAACCTGACCGCTAGGTAATACTTATTGGCCAGCCGAGTTTCGATCCTCAAAGTACCTAGTCTTCCGGCTCCGCTTCCAACCCCCACAATAGCATTGAGTATTCGACATTTATATGGCATCCGTATTTGTATCGCCGACTCCAGCTCCCCCTTCCGCCATGTCTGGTAGACGAGTTCCTCTTTCTACAAATCAGAATGTTGCAAATTCTCCACTGAGAAACTCTGCTCTTCTCGGCAAACACAAACGCCCCTTGGCTCAGGTACAACGAGAGGAACAGTACGGCCAGCCACCTCCGGCTAAGAAACAAGTCATTGAGAGCGGTTCCCAACGCCTCTTGAAGTCTCCTCCGCAGCAGCTACGTGCTTCTAAAAGCCAGATCCCGATACAAGTTCGCCGCAATGCAAACAGCTACGAGAACAAGATTGCCAAGGAGAGGACCAGCCATTCTCAACATAGCCGCCCCTCGCAGTCCGTATCCGCTACCCCCGACTATACTAAGAAGGATATCGAGGAGATTCAGGTTTGGCAGCAGCATCACCGAGCTAGGTTTCCCAAACTCGTATTTTACTTCGAGAAGGTCCCCGACGATGCCCACAAAAAGCTTGCAAAACAAATCACCGCCCTAGGAGCTGTAAGTAATCCGTATTTTTGGATCTCATTCGTACGGTTGACTTACAGGTATACCCCTATAGCGTGAAGAGGCCTTTTTCTCCATCAACATCACCCATGTCGTCACGACGCGTTCAATCCCTTCCGAACGGAGCGTAAGCCGCCGAGATGAAGATGCAGCTGCCGACATGCACGCAGATCATATTCAGGAACATGAGCAGGAGGAAGTCAAGACTATCAACCCATCGCTACTTACCCGGCTATCGGAGGCTTCTACGAAACGGAGGGTCTTTGACAGGGATATTCGCACCCAGAAGGTTCCATCACATGGCCAGGTTGATACTCTCAACCAGCCGAAGCGTAACATGGACGTCCTCCTTCGTGCTCGGGAGATGGGGAAGAAGATCTGGTCTCTGGACAAGTTGCAACGGATGACAGCTCTGCTTCTCGAAACCGACCCGTACGTCAGTGTAGAGATGGCATATGGATCCCGCAGGACGAAGGAAGTTGAACCTCGGACGGCCAAAGAGGGCAATCTTCTTCATCTTCTCCACAACGAGCGCGTCAATGGGCCGTCCGATCGAGATCCGACTGTGAACGCGCAGGAGCTGCATTACTTCAAAGGTCCATACATTTATATTTACGATATCGAGGAGAAACAAAAACCCATCATGGTTAGAGAGTACAAGAAAGTGGCCGACAAGGCGAAAGGCGACTGGCCTCAATTTCGAACCTCTCCATTAGGGCGTTGCCCATTTATTAACGAGTACGAGCCGAAGGAAGCTCAGCCTCAACCCAAGCCGAAAGTCCAGGTAACAACTAGGGCCACCACTGAGAAGAAACCGGTTCTCCAACCGCCGACGATGGAACCGCCGAAGCCTGTTACTGGGAAAAGATCGCTTGGCGAGATGGAAAATGGTCACTCCCGTGGCTCTAGTGTTGCCTCTATTGACTTTTCCAACTCATACAAGCTGCCCCTAGGACAGATTCCTGACAGCCGCTCTAATGCATTCGTCGGTCGTTCCACTAGTCGCCTCTTCGGCGGCGAGCCGGTCGCGTCCGGTGTCCAGCCTTCGAATGTAACTTCCGCTATTCGATCCCAGATGGTCTCTTCGACTGCAACGACACCGGGTGTTATAACCGGCTTGAGTAAGGAGGTTCACGGTCTCCAGCGTCAGGTCCTCAAGCGCAATAGTACTGCGACTTCGCAGGACCTAAGTTCTCGGCGCACTGCCGAGACGAGCCTTCGAGACGATGTTCCTATCAAACGGTCCTTTACTATGAGCCGCACTTCAAGTCGAAAGCCAGAGGTGAATGACGAAAGTACGATGAACAAAGACCCCCAGGGAGCCTCCAAGGCTGTTCCACGGCCAAGCAAACGGGACACGGCGCCAGCGAAGAAGAGCGAGCTCAAGCCTGGGTATTGCGAGAATTGCGCAGAGAAATACGCCGATTTCGATGAGGTATGGCCATCCATCTAACCTTACACATCTATACATGGGTTACTAATAGTTGCTTTAGCATATCGTATCCAAGAAGCACCGTAAATTCGCTGACGACGAGGAGAACTGGCTTGACTTAGACGATTTGCTTTCTCAGCTTGAACGTGTGCCTAAGAGCAAGTCTTATTCGTCTTGGGGGCTCGCTCGACGACAAGACGCAGACGCCTATTATCCACCCACCTTTACCGGTAGCACTTGAATCCGTAGTTCCCGGGCCTCTAGATCTCGTCTACATGCGTGACTGATCGCTGGTCGCCCACCGCCAGGAAGACACAATATTCCGAACTTATATCTAATTTTTTGCCCGTCATTCTATGGCATCCGCGGCGCGATGATACCCATTTCTTACGATCCTTTCGGCTTTCGAGGCTGTCTTTATGTTCGACCAGGACGACTAGACTTCACATGTCATTCCAAGGGTTTAACGGATACGGCATGGCATAGTACTGCATGGCATGGAGTCTGAGCATTTGGTTTTACATTTCGTATCAGGCCATTGCACGCACTAATCTCACGCATTATTGGCGAATGGTGTTTATATTCTTCTCTTCTAAGGATCAGTTGATTCTCGGTCGACCTGGCGGTAGGTTGTTTGTAAGGAGGGGCGCAACAGGAACTGCCCAGGGAACAAGCCTGTCTCTGGAAGCAGGAATGATCATAAACGCGATAGCATTCGATATAACGAAGCGACGGTGCAGATACAGTATATGATCTTTCGGTTGTGTATGTATAAGTAGTAGTCTACAAGACAAGAAATAAGTGAAACCTGAGCTCCTCCCCTTCATTCGATCAACCTGCTTGTTCACTCGACTCCCAAAGGTCTCTAGATTCGGGTTGTGGCTATATCATGGATGATGATGCACCAATGGCTTGATATAAGAGCGCCTCCGTTTGCTGTATTCATCTCAAGCCGACCTACCTATCTGGCTACATACTGTACATAGTAGTAGTATCATTTGAGGTACATTAGGTGGGTCAATTGGCGGGTTTAACGGGCAACCTTGGAACGTCAGCTAGTAGAGACACAGATTGTGGCAGTATAACACGGGCTGGCTCTCTTGAAGGATAATGATGGAAGGTCAACGCGAAAGGGCCATACCATCCACCTTTAAATCTTCGGGTCTCGAAGTACTCATCTCGTATAAGGGTATGTAGAGCGTGGAAAATTCCCCATAGTAAATCTCGCCAAGAGTACCTCGACAGTACTTGGGCTATTAAGTTCTTAGCTGCATACAAATTTGAAGCTATAGATGCGAGGTTGAAGTTTGTTATGATAGCAGAAACGTTGAAAGAGTAACAGCGATCATGGATGTGGTACATATTGGAATGCGACGCCCGTCCGTTAGCGGCTCGGCGCCCAGACTTGCTACGATCGCATCCCTCCTTTCCGAACGGAAGCGCATTGTCTACCTAAAACTTTAAAACCATCACCCGCCAGTTCTCAATGTCGATCGAAAACAGTATGGACCCGGTGCTTTCCAATATCTTAGTGCCTTGCGACTATGACTTTGAAAGGAATACCCGGCCTTTTAGTTCCTTCCTGAGTTTGACTTAGCCGCCCTAGAGTAGGCGTTTGTGAGTGAGGCTGATTTCAGAGTGCCCCTCTAGAGCTGGCTCTGCTTCGGTCCAATAAAGGAGGTATGTCGGTTATGTCGAGTGCATCGTAATCCATACGACTTGGTGGTTAATTTGCAAGCCAATTTGATCACTTGAATGCAACAGCAGGAAGGGAGGATCTCCTCTGTCAAGCGAAACTCTAGCTCTGGCTCCCCTTGAAGGAGGCTACTCTAGACGTCTCATGCGTCACAGATACACGATGGACTAATAGAGGAGGACATTGTATGGATATACATTGCATGCCGTATATATCTTAAGCTCCCACACAGACGTTTATATATCCATTATCATCATCACCTGCCGAGGTGACACCAAATCTGGACAGCCCACCAAACTGGAATTCTCTAGGTTTGGCTGTTGCCATAGTTTGCATTTCCGTATCCATATGTAACGCTTAGGGGTCCTCGCCGGCCTCCGTGCAAGAACACGAAGACTAACAATGATTTACCAGAGCGTCATTATCGGTGTTTGGTACTGTTTATACAAGAGTCCACCTCGTGTTGGGTTCTTTATACACCAATGAAATGTGCGAGTGAAGGAGATAAGTCCCTTGTTCTACGCACGAGTCGATCCTCGCCTGTACTCTCTTACTCTCTCTATCCTACCAACTTAATCTTACCCCAAAGTCTTTAGGGGCTCCGGGTTGTCAATCAAGTTTCCTATGGACCCCATATCCTAGTTGAATATCCCTTGGAAGAGAACCGGATCCGGGATTCGCTCTAACTGGCTAAAGTCCTAAAGCAAAGCGTTGCCTCTTAGATAGCTTGTGTGGATGGATTAGACAATGACGGTGGGAGGTCGATGAGGCAGTACGGTTTAGCGGAAGCCAAGTTCTGGAAGCTGAGAGGGACACAGGACCAAATATTTGACCCCGTCCAATATCCTCAAGCAGGAGTTCTATCTTCCACAGCATCATCCACCATGGAACTCGTACAGGGCTTAGTTATGGCTAGGAAGAATTTAAGCCCTTTAATAAGAAATAACAGTATCACTGGTTCACTCATGTGAAGGATACGATCGAAATGCATCATATTCATATAATCCGACCTACTTACTGGTGTGTTTTGAGACCCACGCGGCCAGACCTCTGTGTGGTTGGTCTCCTTAGCTCTATCCACCTGTGTTGCTCCAGGACAAAAATTTTCAAGCATATAGAGTGGGTTTGGATAGCACTAACACAATTAATATATATCCGATATTAGTCACTTATGAACTTCATCCACAACTGAGCGGTATATCATAAGACGTTCTCGAGATAATCCGAATTGGTGTAGTGGCTAACATTTGGTGCTCTCACTTCTCGGATGAATGAATCCTCTAGGTGATCCGCCAAGCCCGGGGTTCGATTCCCCGATTCGGAGTTCTTTTTACTTTTACATGTGCATTCTAGACTTGGAGACCCCTTTTTGACAGCGTCCAATCGTCGAAGTGGCGCCAGCTCTCTTGGAGCAAGTTTGGATACCTCTGAAGCTCAAGCCTTCTGGGACCGGTCTCCAACACACGTATCCTCTGTCATAAGACAATGTGGAAGACTAAATTACTCATCTCATCGAAACTCTCTGGAAATAATAGGTGGCTCTCTGCCCGGAGCTTATACGAGCCATTCTTGCTCATGGCAGACATTCCTCGGTGCTCCAGTAATGGTGTACTACCATATGTATTATCTACAGACATAATGGTTTCTATCGATTAGCCCCTTTCTCACATAAGATTTCTGGCCATTTTGTATTGGAGTCGAATAGCTTCAAGTCAGACTGCCTCCTATTTTAACATACCTTTACCGCATGACGGGTCTCCCCTCCCTCGCTTTCCAGGCTATCCCACGGGATGTATACCATGGACAACTTGGTCAAATTGCACAGTAATTACGTCGCTCGATAGTGTCAGAAAGTTGTCTTGGTAGCCAGTACGGATGGAGTGGTGCCTGGTACGAAGTATATCCTAAGATAGAGGTGTTCACAGGGAACAAAGGACCCGTTAGGTATATAGGTCTATAGTTCTAGCTAGATAGGGGTTGAGGCTCCTTGCGTGATAACATAGTTGCTTCCCAGCCTTCTTGGCCCACCTTGTGACAGATAGCTTGCCTGAGACTAGATGCCTGAATTCACGTTTGGAAATTGGCAATTTGCCCGCGCCCACGATATTCGGAAGTCGATTTTGCCCCCAACCCATACGCCCAGAAAATATAGCTATATTGTGCGGTCTCTCACCTTGAGGGGACTTAGAGACTTTGCTCCTGCGGGGGATGGTGCCCTTAAGGAAGAATTGGAGCTTCTAGGAGAGTACGTCCGTAATCGCAAATGCTACCAGTGATACCATCACAGCATGTATGGCACACGTCACGGCGGGGAATATTGGTTGGTAAGCTCGTGATGCTTACCGTGCCCTCCTATAGGTTTGTTAATACTAAGTCTCGTACTAATAGCTGTGAATTGTGCTTTGGAGCTTGGGTAAGCTGCCGGATTGATCGGATGTAGAGGCCCCTTTGAAATTATCCAAGTCGGTTGTTGATATTATGATGTTAATCGGAAGCGCGACGACTCCTGTCCGATATTCGAGTTGTTATCCGTGCGATGTACCGGTGCATTATATTCCAATGTAACTCTACGAGTGGATATTACTTTATAGTCCCATTGGCTGAGGAATTCCGAACGACAGACGGCATTTCCGTTAATGGAACTTGTCACGGTATAGCAAACAGCGAATCTCCGTCAGCTACCGATGCGGTAATAAGAGCTGATAGACCCGAATCCGACCCCCTTCGATATTATGTATATAAGCTGTCATGATGGAACTCATCTCTTGGCTGAGAATAACACACCACTGTAAAGACTCACCCCATTAGATTAGATGCGCTTTTGTCGGAATGTCGCCAATGGATGAGAGTTATGAGCTGGTTGTTGATAGGGTTGAGGCCTTTACGGCTGCTGATTTCAAAGACCACAATGCCGAGAGATTCCGATTGTTGGCGAGTGCACGCAAGCTGATCAACCGATTGGAAACAGATCAAGAAAGAATGATTGATATTGCTTTTCATGAGCCAATTGTGTTTGCGGTGCTGAAGACATGCCTTGATCTTGGTCTCTGGCATCAGTGGGTAGCGGCGGGCGGAGGGGAAAGATCGCTGGATGACCTGGCAAAACTGACCACCAAGGATTGTGATGCGAATTTGCTTCGTAAGTTTACGTACCTATTTGGTGTCTAACTTGCAACGAAACTGACAAATAGGAAGGCCGCCTGCTCCGGCTTATGGGGGCCGAGGGCATCATCGAGGAAACAGGGGAGGATCGATACAAACCGACTCCTTTTTCGCTATCGATCGGTGACGAGTCTACCCTAATTGCGCAGGTGCTAATATCTAGGTCAGAATTTCTCCCTGTATATGACATTACAGCTGCTTGAACTAATGTAGAACCCATCACTGGGATCCCTGTAGCACGAATCTACCATTGTTTCTGGCCAAGACGTCATATCGTGAGCCCCTGGATTCGAAGCACACTTGCTACAGTGATAGTACTCCTGAAGGTCTACCGTTCTTCGATAGGAATATGTCGAACCCGATCTACCAAGACAGCTTCAGTGGCCTCATGAGAGAGTGGACCAAATTGCGAGTTCCATGGCCGGAATTCTACGACACGGAATCTCTCATAAAAGGTGCAGACTTATCCTCGGGGGCACCGTTGCTCGTTGATATCGGCGGCCACCACGGCATCGACATCAATTTATTTCTAGACAAGCATCCAGATGTGCCGGCCGGCTCCCTTGTCATCCAAGACCTTGAAGGGGTCATCTCAACTGTAAAGCTTGCGACGAACAAGATCAAGCTCATGGCTCATAGCTTCTTTGATGCGCAGCCTATTCATGGTAACATCCTTATCCTATCGGTATTGTGGAGGTCAAAACTAACCATTGACGTGGGGGATAGAGAGTCGAGCATATTTCCTCCACGGGATATTCCATGACTGGCCAGACACAGACGCTGTTAAAATCCTACGGAACATTGCGCCGGCAATGAAGAGGGGCTATTCTAAGCTTCTCATCTGCGACATGGTAATCCCGCCTACGGGGGCGACTGTGTATCAGACACTAATGGATTTGAACATGATGGCAGCCCTCTCTGCATGTGAGAGAACTGAGGCTATGTGGGAGAAGCTTATTAGTGAAGCGGGATTCAAGATCATCAAAATGTGCAGGGATAGCCGGGGACATGAGGCAGTGATTGAGGCAGAGTTGGCATGAATTGCTTTTCCAGCGCAGTACGGTGACAAGCGGCGAGGATATTCAACTATCTTCACTAGGACTCGATTCTGATTTATCAGTAATATTGAGGCATTGATATGGAACGCTGAATAAAGGGGTAATCTTGAAGAGGGGCCCAACAAATCAAGCTGGCTCTGGAGGGGTCTTTGCCACGCCTTAAATACCGGGCAGCCGGGACACGCCGGCGCCTAGGTGAAGATAGGGATAGATGAGTAAGGCGATATGAGCCTTTTCATGACATGGTTGTAGTAGAGCTTCGTGATATAAATGTAGAAAGAACACATGCGACACTCTCATAGCATCTGAGCAAATTAATGTTTGCTTCTAAGCTGGTTTGTGAAGGGGTTACATGCAGTCTAGCAAGCCCCTGAATAAAGTGATTGACGATAAAGATAAGAAAAGGGCCCGTGCATACTGTAGCTGGAGCCAGCGAGGTGCTGTTACGTAATCAGGCACCTACCACCCCGTGACCGCTAAGCTGTCGCTTTTCACCACACCTAAACTTCGGGTCATCATTGAAGGATTCATATACCTCTTAAGCTTCCTCATAACTGACCATCAAACGTTAAACCTATCCGTACAGCTACATATTTGACGCGAGCATAAAAACAATACAAGATGGAGTATCCCGATGTTCCCGAGCAACCGTCTCCGTCGCCTCCGGCGTCCCCCATTCTAGACCGACCAGCCTCACCTGAACTTCCTCTTACCATGACCGCGTCAGCTATTCTTACTGCACTCCCTCAAGATGCTAGTTCGGCCCTCGCAAGTGCTGGTGAGTTCGATCAAGAGAAGATCCTCGTCCGTTTTAAGGCTGTAGCGTCTGCTCCACAACTTAAGCGCGAGGTCCGACGAATAAGCGCATCGCAGAAGTTCGAGGCTGTCGTGTCTCATCTGCGCAAAGCCCTACGGCTCAACCCTACCGACGGTTTATTTCTTTATGTAAACAGCGCATTCGCCCCCGCTTTGGACGAGATTGTGGGCAACCTACACAGGGTACGCATAATATCTCTTGACTGGTTTTATGAAATGCTCATTGGGCCGACAGTGTTTTAAAGACTCGAACGATCAATTAATTGTAGTCTATTCCATCACCCCCGCATTCGGATGAGTTGTACGACGATCTGACATAACCTGGTCACCATGGTATCCCCTATGCGCCTAATGATGCTAATACAAAATACCGGGAAAAAGAGACGGATGCTCCTGTGCCTCTCATCCTCTGACCGTCCGTGGTGCAATAAGAAACCAAACGAGGCGAGCGACGGTACATCACAGCTGCTCTACGTCCTTCACAAACGCCTCGAGCTCGTCCTTAGAAATAGGATAGGTATGTTCTGGCGCTGGATACGCGCGGCTTTTCACCTCTTCACGATAGGACTCGATTGCTCGGAGACTTTCCGCCCACACATTACCATATTGTTTCACGAATTTAGGGAGAAATCGACCAGGTGGGAAGTTTCCAGACATGTCGACCTGGACGAGCACCTGACCGGAACATCCGTTTCCAGCGCCGATTCCGATGGTTGGGACGCGTAATTTCTGCGTGATGATACTTGCGACTTCAGCTGGAACAGCTTCTAGTACCATGGCGAAACATCCAGCTTCCTGGACGGCCAGTGCATCTTCGAGAACTTTCATTGCCCCTTTCGATGTCTTTCCCTGGACTCTGAACCCACCGAGAGCGCCTTGCCGCTGAGGCGTCAGTCCCACGTGTGCTAAGACGGGTATTCCAGCCTTGGCTATTTTGGCAATGGTCGGCGCCATCTCTTTTCCGCCTTCTAGCTTGATACCAGAGACGCGGCCGTGTTTAACGAATCGTATCGCCGTTTCTAGCGCTTGCTCGGGTGAGATCTCGTAAGATCCCATAGGAAGATCTCCGACCTTGTCTATCATTAGTGTCTTATGCCGATGGAATTGAAGGTGCAGACTTACTGTGAAGGCCCCGCGAGTGGCACGTGCGACCGATCGACAGTGAAGCAGCATGTCTTCAACAGTCACTTCGCTAGTGTCTTCCATACCCAACGCGACCATCGCTAGACTGTCGCCAACGAGAATGACGTCCATCCCGGCAGAATCGGCGACATGCGCACTTGGGAAG